TTGGTTGCAGCATAAAGGGACAAAAATAGCAACAACAGCAATGATCCAAGAGGCACTTCAAAGGGTTGCATGGATATGTTGAGGTCTCACGGTTTAGATTGACAAAATTAGCTTTTTCTCCGGTTTGGTTTTCCAATTTTCGGTACTCAGTGATTCTAACCGAGTTTTGTGATTTTGAAGTTTTGGAAAATCCTTTAGAATTCTTGTAAAATCGAATTCCTTTTGGCTCATAACGTAGAAGAAGACAATAAGAAAAAACAAATATGAGTTCCTTAGCATACTAATATACTATGCAATTAAATTATGCAAAATGAAAAACACTCGTAGTAGTTCGTGCACTATTCATTTTAAAAGTAAATAAAAGTTGAACATAAGTAAACTAAAAGTAACATTTGCAAAAAAAAAAAAACAAAAAAACAAAAAAAAAATAGTAACATTTGCAAAAGTAAATGTAACGAAATATTTCAAGTTCGACCAAAAACACTATAGTAAAATCTCTAAAGAGACACTACAGTCTGATTTTAATAATACTAAATCTTCAATCTCACTTCAAATATTCTTTAGGTATTTTAAGAAAAGTTCATGTAAAAATTTTAAAATTATATTTAGAAAAGTTAAAGATAGAATTGGTGGTCAAAAGCTGGTAAAAGTGTTCACAAAATACACTGCCTTATAGAGAAAAGAAGTAATGTCATTTCAAATAATTGCATCTAACGCCACTGAGATCTCACTTCAACATGTGTTACCAATTAAACATTAACTTTTATGTCAAAAAATAAAGGAAGAAAATCTTAGCACAAGGACTTGGACTCTATTTGGATTTCGTTTGGTAGCATCAAAGTAACTCTCTCATTTTAGTAAGAGGTTATCTTTATTGAAAATGCATAATGTGGCGTTAGAAAATTATGTTGAAAATTTCTTGATTTAGAAGAAACTTAAGAAATTGGTAGTTCTTTAATGAGATTGGTTGGCATGGTAGGTGGCCATTAAGGAGATCCATGAATTGGTGAAGCTGAGGTTTAGAAGATACAAACTAGATTTGAATACCGACTATTGAAAGAAGACTACTTCAAAGTTTAAACCTACTTTTCGTTATCTACATAAAGTTACGAAACCACAGCATGAAACTCAGTATGGATCAGTCTCTAGTTCATATCCTCCCTCCCAAATTGCACTTGGAAAAGCCAAAAAGGCAAGAAAAAGATGTACTATAGTGCTATTGAAAAGTAAGGAGAAGAATAGGATTAACATAAATGTACAAACACAACTAGTGTATACAAGGCCGGTTATGTAATGATTAACCTAGCTACATCTTGAACGTATAAATTCGGTTATATCATGTATATATATTTCCAGAACTCATGGTGATCAAGACCATGACTATTCCTTGGAAATGAATGCTTGTTGCATACAAACACACCAATTTGATCATCCGGGCTAAAACCCATAAGCAACTGGCCCAAAAAGTGTGATACCATTGTCTACCAATTACTCATTTATTTCACCAGAAAACCATGTCTACTAATAATAATAATGATAAACACCATCACCAATTCACCATCATTGTTTGATGATAATCTATTTTACATGGTAGAAGAATTGCAGACACCCATAAATAAAAGACTCAAATTTATGTTTTTACTTTATTCCCATTCGATCGTTGAAGGAGGCTTTGATGTAATGTCTTGAACCACACGGTTTACTCCTTGAACGCTGTTACAGATTTTCCGGGAAACATCGTCCAAAAACTTGTGCTCAAAATTGAACCTGCAGTTTATTTAAACATCAAGTACCCACAGTCACAATATAAACTTGCGTTTTCATTGCACCGCAAGAATTCTAGTCAACAAAAATTCACACCAATAAAAGTAAGACTTGGTACAAATACTTGTTATCTCTTAGATCAATGTACCTCTATTTGTACTCAGATCGGATAACGAGTCTTAAATATTGCAACAAAGCAAGTAAATATTGTTAAGTTTCACTATCCAATCCATTTAACCGGTTTGAGACAACCTAGATACCTAAATACATGACTTTAAACACTCCCAACACCTAAACTTATCCGACCTTCAATCTCAAATACCCAAATACTCAATCCTAAGTACCACATGGTAGAATCTAAACCTCAAGTATCCACATCAACACGGTAATAAGTTACGATCAAAAGGGTACTATAAGCATTGGTATTAAGACATGTAAGAAGCTTACCAGTCTGCAGTCATTCCATCTTGGCTTGTAACTGCGCGAAGAGCAACCACATGAGAATGTGTTCTCTTGTCACCTTGGACTCCAACTGATCTTACAGGCAAGAACACTGCGAAAGCTTGCCAGATCGAATCATAGAGACCTGCATCTCTGATTGATTGGATGAATATCTCATCAACCTGAGGATATGGAAAAAAACGGGCAAAAGAAAAATATAAGTTTGGTAAATGAGCAAGTACAAAACCAAAGGATTTATACAGCCGGTTTGAAGTTTTCAAGAGCTCACCTGACGAAGAACTTCAAGGGCGTTTCCTTGGGTGACATCGCCCAAGACTCTAACTGCGAGTCCCGGACCGGGGAATGGGTGACGCTTCAAGAATCCTACGGGAACATTCAAGATTCTTCCGAGCTCACGAACCTTTATTGCACAAAAAATCCAGAGAAAGATCACCTACCAAACACTCGACAGTTGCAGACAAGAAAGATAGTAAAAAGACAATAGTAACAAACCTCGTCTTTGAAGAGAAGCTTGAGTGGTTCGATCAGCTTCAATTTCATGTCTTTAGGGAGTCCTCCAACGTTATGATGACTTTTGATGGTGTGAGAATGAGTTCTATCAGTACCAGGGGGAGGGCACGACTCAATCACATCAGGGTACAGAGTCCCTTGAACTAGAAAAGCAGGTTTCTTCCCATGCTTTTTCTCTAACTCTTGGGCAAATTGATCAAAAATGTTGATGAACTCCTTGCCGATTATCTTTCTCTTCGTCTCGGGATCCACAACGCCTTTGAGTTCACTCAAAAACCGCTCAGATGCGTCTACACAAGTAACAGGTAGATGCAAGTCTCTCTCAAAGGTATCCATCACACGTTCTTGCTCCTTATACCTACAAAAGGTACCATTCTCAATTAACGAAAAAAACACATTAAAAGTGCATATCACAATGAAAGCCGCTTCTTCTCTAACCTTAATAGCCCGTTATCAACAAAGATACAATGAAGCCTGTCTCCAATTGCCTTGTGAACAAGAGTTGCAGCAACAGTAGAGTCCACACCTCCTGACAAGGCGCAAATGACATGTTCGTCAGATGCAACGGTTTGGTTAATCACTTTGATCTCTTCTTCCATCAGATCCTCCATTTTCCAATCGGCAGATACTCCACATACATCAAAGAGGAAGTGCCGAAGTGTCTCCATCCCTTTTGGTGAATGAGTTACCTGCAAAATCAAACAAAAAGCCATTTCATCATAAGCTAGAAATCAACACTTAACCAGCACATCATTTACAGACATTCACGAGTAATTCTCAAATCAGTGGACTAACCAAACATTAATATAGCTATGTGAATCAAATAGAAGTACCAAATCCACTAAAAATATAATCCAAACTACGATACTATATCAAATTCTTCAGTCTATAGAAGCAAACTAGCCAACCATTAAACAGCTATGTCAATAAAATTGAAGTCCCGCGTTATATTCAAAAACAGTCTCATATTTTTCGCTTATCAGAGAATCACAGAACATGAACTAAAATCTCCCAAGTAGTCTCATCAGATTCATTACGATATGAATAGCTAGAATGCCAAAGATCTAGACTTTCTCATCTATAAACCCAAAATCCACTAAAACCCCAATCCAAACTACTATATCAGATTCTTCAGCCTCTAGAATCACACTAACCAACCATTTAAATAGGTATGTCAATCAAATAGAAGTCCTAATTAAGAAATGTCTCACATTTTTCACCAATCAGAGTCACAGAACATGACCTAAGTTCTCCCAAGTCTTCTCAGATTCATTAAGATATGAACAGCTAACATGAGGCCAAAAAAAAAAAAAGAACAGCTAACATGCTAAAGGTCCAGACTTTATCATCCACTAAGTACCTAAATACCCAATCCAAAACTATGATACTATATCAGATTCTACAAGTTTCAATACCTCAGGATGATACTGCAATCCATAAATCTTCTTCTTCCGATTCTCCAAAGCAGCAACAGCTCCTTGAGCACTCTGAGCCACAACTTCAAACCCTTCAGGAAGCTTAACCGCTTCATCACCATGACTCATCCAAACCATTTGCTTCTCTCCACCACTCTCCGACCCAAAAATCTCCGATTTGCCCTTCACTTCAATCTCCATCTTCCCATACTCTTTACTCTCTCCCTCCACAACAACACCTCCAAGCTTCTGCACAATCAATTGCAAACCATAGCAAATCCCCAAAACATGAACACCGTTCGACTCTGCCCACTCCATAAACCCGTCGGGAAAACTCGGCGCGTCGAGCGCGTGAACAGAGTGAGGTCCACCGGAGAGGATAACGACTCGTGGGTTATAGCTAGTGATTGATTTGAGCGATGAAGTTCCACTGATTACGAGAGAGAAGACGTTGAGAGAACGAATACGGCGAGTTATGAGATGTGTGTATTGGGAACCGTAATCAAGAATCAAAACCGTATCAGGCTTCATCGTCGGCGTCTCCATGGATAGGGTTTTAGAGCTTGGTGAAGGAACAAAAGAGATTTAGGGTTTTTCACTGTTTATGGCTAAGAGAGGCTTGGCGGGAAGTGGAGGCTTATAAAAACAGAGCAGAAGCAGCAACTAGGGTTTTGTGACTTTTGTCTGAATCACAGAAAACGAGAAAGACGAGATCTTTTGTCATTAATAATTGAGATAATGAAAAAAATTTCGAATCTTTTTGCCCACAATTTCCGGCCGCTGCTAAAACCCTAAATCCCTAATTCCAATAACAAAATCTCAATTGGTCAAAAGTCAAAACCTTTTCAATGAAACAGAAGCTTTTTACTAGAACCATCCCAATTTCGAATCAAAAGATCGAATCTTTTTAAATTTAGATAACTAATAATGAAGAGAAGATTCTCAAATTTTAAACTTTTTTATACAGACAAAAAAATGTTGGAATATATCCGAAGAAATTCAGATTAATCGACATAATATGCTCCTCTGCATTGTTCTTAGCTCATGAGAGATCTCAAGCACCAATTGTTGCTGAATCTTTTCCACAATATCAGACACAACACCTTCAGATTCACCACCAAAATCCAACCAAAGACATGGCTTTATTATATCAGTTTCAATGATCTGATCCAATGATCTTGTAGTAGAGTCAGAGCAGAGTAAACTCCAGTCAAAATGTCTCATCGTCTCGTGAATCAGATCTTTTTCTCTAAGGGATGATTGTAGATTGACGACTCTCGAGCTCTTCGATGGCGAGAAAGGCCAAAACTTGATGTCTTGACGGTAAATCTCGCGGAGAATCTCGTCGGTGTAATCAAGAACAAGAAGAAGCTGGTCGTTGTGATTACCGTGTGAGAATTCATCCAGTAGTGATGTTTCTTCGTTGCACCTTGTCATAAGATTAGTCCAATTCAATCTTGAGGCTTCAAGAACTTTCTTCACAAACTCATGAACAGATTCTTTTTCGACAAGATCAATGTTGGGATCATCAAAGGATACTCCAATCTTCTCTTCTGCAAGTAATAGACTTTTTCGGGTAAATCAAACAGATAACTGTGATCCAAGGATGAAAATAATGAGAGCATTGATTCAGGGGCTTTTACCAAGGTTAGAAATTTTCACATTTCCGGGGATGACTAGTTCTTCTTCCAAATGAATCCTCTCAAGAACAGAGACAGGACTCGGTTGTTCCTGCTCCTGTTTCGGGTCATGAATGTTGCAGTCTTGTCTTTCTAGGCTCGAATTCGACTCCTGCAAGGATTCAAAGCATAAATTAAAGAACCAAGCCGGGTAGAAACATAAGACATCTCTACTATTTTCTTCACTGCTTACTGCTAATGAGCTCTCGAGACATCTATCCTCCACGAATCCGTCTTCTACATGAGTTCTCAGACTTTTGTACTCAGCAGAACCTGATTCAAATCTTAACAGTTTAGGTGCATTGGCTCGAAGATGATTTGTTAAAGGTTTTGTAATTTTTTACCTGTACAATTGCCGCCGAGAGACCTTAGATTAGAATTGTACGGATTCGGGTCAAAAACCTCGAAGTTTTTGTCCAAAGACCACAACTTGAAGCTCTCTCTCTTCTTCTCTAGCTTCTGTCTTCTTTCTTTGAGCTTTGTCTGCAAGCTACTCAATGCATAAGGAACCTCATAAACCGGTGAAGAATTTAATCTCTCTTGTTGCCTTTCTACCATGAATCTCCTTGGCAAAACATCGTTCTCGATACTTAGCTTGAAAACATCTGATTCTACCCGTTTCTTGCGCCTAAACACCGGTGACTCCGGGCTTCTATGTCCAAATGTACTTGTAGAAACATCACTTGTTCTAAAAGCAGCAGCCTCGGTTTCTCTATCTTTACCGCTACCTTCAGGTTTGTTTTCTGCGTGATTGCTATCTTTGTTAGATCCAACAACGAGCTTCAACTTCTTGGCCAGATGTTTGAATCTCAAGTACACTTTATCGTCAACCGAGCTTGACAATCTAGGCTTCAAGAGAACAATGTTATCCAAATCATCATCCCTTGATGGAGAGTTATCCCGCGGTTCCTTTACCTTACATCCTTCCAAGTCTTGACCTTTTTTCGAGAATGAATTAGGATCTTGTAAGAGTGTAATGAACAATTCTTTGTTCGAACTTAGAATATCTAACGCCTCCATGAACTGCTTAGACCGATCTTTCCCCTTCTCTTCTGCCTTCGAACAAATAAATGTTTCAGCAGCTTCATTCACACAAGCTTGAAGGTTAATCTCTGCACTCTTCTTACAATCTACCCCATTCTTCAGATCTATTTGATTATCCTTATCATTTCTCTTCTCAATTTCACTCAAAGAAGATTGCTTTTGCTTATCCGGGACATCGCAAGTTTCATCCTTTAGATTCTTGATCCTTCGTATCTCTCTCTCAAGTAATCCCTGAACAGGTTTAGATTCATACTTCTCAAGTTCTCTTTCAGAACTCAAAGATCTTCTCCTTGTTTTAGGCTTACATGAACTCTCTTCTTCCACAATCCGCTGAACAAATCAAGAGATTCAGTTTCACTCACAAATCTCTACTTAAGCTAAAACCAAAAACTAACCATTTAAAAAACTTACATCATTACACTGACACTTCTCGTGAAGCTTCTTAAGCAAATCAAGCTGGCTTTTAGTATAAACATTACCTACAAAAAGAGAAAAACTCAAATTAACACTAAGATCATGTTAAGAAATGATCCAAGAAACACTGATTTAAAAATAACTACTAACCAGCAGAATCTCTGATGAATTTCTTCTTCTCTGAACCAAGTCTCTTATTACCAGATTTGACATGTCCGAAATCGAAGAACTTTATCAGTTTCCAACCACAACCTGACTTATAACTCTCGTAGACAAGAGGGCTTTTAGGGAAAATTGCAGGTCCAGGACTCTTGCTACTTCTTGGTGATCGCTTCTTCTCCATTGATGATCAACAACAAATTCACCAATCATTCAACACTCTCGTCTCCAATTTAGTAAAACCGTTTCTCAAAGACCTGAAAAACAAAACAAAAAAAAAATCTTATCTTTTTAAAAAATCTTACAAACATAGTAACAGCAACAAAAACAGAGAATTCTAATAGTGTCCAAAAATTGCTTCTTTTGGATACAAAACTGTCAATTTTACTTCCTGGGTTACCTTTTTTTATCTTCCCCTAAACCCTAAACTGAGATTTTCATTAAAAAAAACTCCTTCATGAAAAAAATAAACTTCTTTTAGCCTAAAAATGTAATCTTTTTCCATATAAGTGTGTATATCTTACAATATATAAGAGAGATTTGCTTACCAGAGCTTTTTGGTTGAAATGGGTCAGAAAAAAATGCAAACTTTTCTTTACAGAGGCTGTCTGTGGAGCCAATCAAGCACTCAGCTTTGTGATGATGGAGGGACTGATAAACATGAAAAGTTACAAACCATAGATTTTTGTTTCTACATAGATTATAAAAGAAGAAGAAAAAGTGACCAACATGATTGAGGTTTGGGTTTTGAAGATCTAAAGAGAAAATTATAGGGACCCTTGTCTCTTCATCTACTAATGTAATTAAAAAAGAAAAGATTTTTAATTTGGGGATTTTTTTGGCCTTAAAGAAAAATTTGTAAGGACAATAAATGAAGATTACTGTTTATTCTTGGAGATGGGTCCTCTCGCCATTAAAGAGGGTTTTAGTTTGGCTTATGGAGAAGAAGAAGAAGAAGATGAAGGAAGTAACTTAAGGAAATGTAAAAAAGAAAAGGAAATGATTAGAATTTAGAAATGAAAAGAAAATAATCAAAAGACCAATAGATTTACTGATTTACACTTTTGGTTTTAGATGTTCAGACATTTTTTTTTGCAGGCGACCAGACATTTATAGTGTACATTTTTGTTTTTATACTGTAATAATTTGAATTTAAAATAAAATAAAAATAATAATAATAATTAAAGATAGTTTTTTTCCTTAAGTTTGTAAAATAAATGAGAGAAAATGAGAAAGGAGGAGAGGGACGTGAGAATGAAAGAGACATTGAAATTTGCAGATCGTTTCACATATAAGACAATGCTTTCAAATAAAGCTTTTATTTCTTTTTTTTTTTTTTTTTTGATATACCCTATCGGCTGTCCGGTCGGCCCCGGTAGGAACGCACCGAGGTGCTACATAGTGGACTTGTCCACCGTGTTAACGGCTAGGCCCTTCGGGCTACCACTCTGCCTATCCCGAGTTTGGTGTGCCTTCCGACTAAGTGCCAGGGGGTAGTCAGGCCGCCTGCATTTCTGACTACCAGGTAAACCAATTGGGCCAAAGCCCAACTGACAGACTTCCCACATAATGTTGATAACAGCCAGGAGGGAGGATTCGAACCCAGGGGGGAGGGACTTTCACAAAATATATACATATACATTTATATTTCTGTCCTCTTCTTATCTCTAAAAATATATACATATACATTTATATATAGAGTAAAACATAAATATTACCATGGTTTTTATGTGATTTTAAACATTAACTTATCACTGTCAATAAAAGGAGTAGTACCTTTTTGGCCCAAAATTTATTTTATCGAAAAATGTAACCGTTGGAATCAAACTCAAATAATGAAATAAGTAGTACATCTGCTTTTAATGATTATTATTTATTACGTATAATATTTTGCTGTTATAGTATTTCTTGACATTTACCAATTGGTTCTCGAGTCCTTAAATGAATATTATTAGTCTTATTTTCTGCAGATTAATCTTTATTAATTAGTAACGTAAAGACTTGTATTGTTCCATCTACGTCTTAGTACGTGTCTACACATGCACATTTAATATGTGTGTGTATATATCAAGAAATTAATACGGCATGTTCCATTTTTCTTTCTATTTTACGTGTTTGGTATTTGCTACAGCACCAGTACTTTTAATGAGGTTATACGAATGAATTACGTAAAATAATCTGAAATTTACATGTGTTTTTTGTTCTCATATTGATTAGTTAAATAACTAGTTTTATTGGTTTAAAAACTATTAACATGTGATTTGTCGTAGTTGAGATGGTGACATTGATTGCTTTTTAACTCTTTTTTTTTTTTTTTGTTGTTGTTAATCTATATATAATAGCAATCTCAATAAATGCTTTATGCACTTCTGAACGATTGCGTTTTTTTATCGCAACCTTTCGTTTAATATTTACGGTTATTTTTTTCGATGGTCTCTTTTTATCGCATATTTTCGTTGAAATATTTACGGTTATTTCTTTACAATTGTGTCTTTTTATCGCATCTCTTCGTTAACATATTTACGATTTTTTTTTACAGGTATATTTGTTCAATTACAGTTATATCTTTTAAGTTTACGGTTGTGTCTTCATAGTTGCATCTATTCATTTAAAGTTACGTCTCATATTATATAGATTTAAATTTTGTTTCTTAACTAAAATATATATTTTACGGTTTTTTTTTTCTTTCAAAAAGTTGAAATGCGAATAAAATTTATGTAATCGTAACATCTCATAAACAATTGCGATTGTTTAGTTGAACCATTTCAACATTTATGTTTTCATAAAAGTTGCATATGTTCAGTTTTTAACTATCAAAATTTTGAACAATTGTGTTTTTTTTGTTGCAACCTTTTGTTAAGTTTTTTTTAATAACTATAAAATACGATTTATGGTTGTGTTGTTTTTTTAAAGGTGCATCGATTCAATTTTTAACTATAAAATATAAATTTTATGGTTTTGTTATTTAGAAAATTGCATCTGTTCAAAGGTCGCAAAGGTTCGTCAAATAAAATTTTTACGGTTGTGAAAGTTGCATATTATCAATTTTTAACTGTAATATAAATTTTATGGTTTTGTTTTTTTTGAAATTTTCATTTGTTCAAAAGTTGCAACGGTTCATTTTTGATAACTGTAAAATATAAATTACGGTTGATTTTTAAAAAGCAGTTTCATCTGTTCAATTTTTAACTATATAATAAAAACTTTATGGTTAGTTTTTTGGGAGAGTTAGCGCAGAGGTAAAAACAGAGAGGCAAATTAGCGCAGAGGTAATTGACTGCTTTGACTCCAAGTATTGGAAAAAGAGCATCACTTCTGCCCTTCGATTTCTCTGAAATAACAAAAAACCCAGGCGCTTACGTATCCATGCGAGTGGGATAGCAACCTTGACTTTTTGGCAAAAAGGGATGAAGCGGCGTCTCTCTTTCGGATGTGACGGTTACACGACGACTTCCATTTAGTGCAAACCTGCAGACTGTCTAATTAGATCTGTGGATATCTATAATAGAACAACAGATGCTTGGCAAATATACATGAATAGATACAGATCTAAGTAGATCTGTGGATATCTAAAACAAACAATAGATGCTTGACAAAATATACATGAATAAATATAGATCTATAGGGAAAGTTGAATATTTAAACTCAGGGATAATTAAAAAATTGCGGATCTAAATAGATATGTGGATATGGAGACGGAATTTAGTGAGGAAAGCGAGAAAAACACAAAAAAAAAAATTAGATACTATACAATCGTGAAAGCAATGGAATGAAAACAAATACATGGAAATTTTTTTGAATTTTGTCGCTTGACAACATTAAGATGTCAGGTTAACAGAAAGTGAGCCAATTTGCTAGAGAAGACAGGTTTGGAGTAGACATCAAGAAGTTTCCCGAAGCAAGGTCTAATGGTTTCAATCTCTTCAAGCGTAAGAGCTTTTAGCACAACCTTAATCGTATTGAGCTTAAAGTACATATTCACCATATCGCCAGCATGTCCTCTCTATCGGCGAACAATCGGGAAAGTAGATCTAGATCAGCCATATTTCTAAACAGTAAAAAAATTGAACAGTAAGTTATGTATCAACATCAAGTGGAAATAAAAGAGAATAAATAGATGTCTACAAAAAAAGATGAACATCTAAATACAGATCTATAAATTAGAGATGTGGATCTAAGTAGATCTGTATATATTTACAATAAAACAACAGATGCTTGGCAAATATACATATATACGCATATTCGTTTTGAAAGAAACAAAAAAAATTGTTACGTTTCTCTTAGCGCGTGAGGCTAAAAACGGAAAGATGATGGGCTAATGTTGCAATTGTTTTAGGCCCCAACAAGATTTGATCAAAAACTAATTTAAGCTCATATCCTTACCTCTGAGTTAATTATCTCTAGTTTTTTAGATAGTTGCATTTGTTCAAAGGTTGTAACAGTTCATCAAATAAACTTTTTCATTTTTACGGTTGTGTCTTTATAATTGCATCTATTCATTTATAGTTATGTCTCTTTATTATATTCATTTTTGCTATCTAGTATTTATATGTATATACTTTGTTATCTATATTATTATTTGTTTTTTCCTAAATAACTATCAATTTTGGTTATTAGATAATTTTTTCCGAGATTGTCTCTCTTTAACATAACTTAATTTAACATATTGCGTATTTTTTTATCATAATGTTTTGTTGAATATATTTATATAATTATGTTTAGAACTAATTAAAAATTTGAAAAATACGTCTACTCATTATAGCTCTTTGTTTAATATTTTTTGTTTATGATCACATCTTTTCACAATAATATTTTCTAATAATAATAAAAATCTTAATAACTGTTTTTAAGGATTACGTCTCTTTTTTTTTTAAGTTATCTCAATTCATTATGATTTTCGTTTTGTATTTTTTTTCTTTAAAGATTTTTGAAATCTTTTCCTCCGCAACGTCGCGGGGGTCTGAGTCCTAGTTACAGTAGTACATATGATTTAAATTGATGAATCAATTCTTTCCGTTTAATTTCGTCTGTTGCACTTATTCTATATTTACCCAAACCGGAATTGTTGTTCGGTTCATCCCTTTATCACCAGTAAGTCAGTAACGAATCTAACTCTTTAGTCAATGGGGTTAGTTTCACGTTAACTCTCAAGTCAATATGACTTATTATAAAATTTGAGATTGCATTCGTATTATTGTATAAAAATTGGTGGAACATAAATATGATTGTTTGACTTGTAACGGTATACGTGTGGTTGTCCACTTGTCTTATGTTATAATTAATCAAATCCATCTAACTTTTCACCAAAGTTTCTCTCTACCGTTCAATATAATATAGTTATGTCAATTTGGCTATACATATTATAATCGTTTAACGTTTATATCACATTACGTAAACACAGTATATGAATTATATTCTTAAAGCTAGAGATAGAGTACCGACGAATTGATAATCACATATGTATTTAACATTTTTTATCGTTGACATATGAAGTCTAACATGCGTATATAGATATTGTTCGTGTAGACTTTTGGTAACAAAAAAGAAGAAGACGATAAACTTGCATTATAACTGAAAGTTCTATGGTTAAAGTTGCTTGGAACACCTAGTTCTCATATATATATGATAGTATGATACACATATATCTATATTTATTTATAACATAGTACTCATTAATTAGTAATTTCGTTGTATTTTGACACATTGTATAAAGGAAACAGTAATTACATTATAGCATGTGTAGGTCACGTGTTATGAAAATGGGCTGAGGAAGTGTAGAAGTGAGGCCCAAGACGAAGGGACCACAAAGGGTGTATTAAACCAACTCAACTGTACATGGCGGTGGTCGGTCCACGTTACAAATTAAAGTGGCCATGTGGTTTTTATCAACGACCAAGATACGGCTCTCAAAACAAGAGAAAAACATACACAAAACTACATTATACTAACTATAGACTTTAGTGCAAAAAAACATGATATAACTTAGGCTCTAAATGAACATGTACATGGCGGGACATATTTGGATGCATAACGGATAAAATAATATCAAATTTCATGAAATTTTGGATACGATTCCGACTCTTTTACTGTTTTACATCCATACTCTATTCGGAATCTAAACTTCGGCCAACAATAGATGAAAATATTAGCTTTTTTAGAAAATCAAGAAATTAAATCAACCTCTTATGTCAGAAAACCAAGAGCCATTAATCTTTTTCGTTCACTATAAATAATTCAAATAAAACGTTTGTTTGGTTCTCTGCAACAACATAGCAGGCATCAATCACTAAGCAACTTTTTTTGTCTTCTCTTCAAACAAAATATTTCTCAAATATTTTCTGTAAAAAATACAGATAGTGGGCTAAAATCATGGGCCATGATACTGCCTTACAAGCCCATCATTTTACTATGCGTTTTATCGGCATTTTATCGGTTTTATGCGTTTTGCAACCAAATTCGAATAGTGTTTTGATATTTTAGTGGTGTATGATCAGGAAGTTTCGCAGCGATTATGAATGGTGTTGAAGAAGACAAAGACAATATTTGAAAAGAACAAACCGATATATAATCTCGTTTAATTACAAAATCTAAATCCTAATTCTCTTTTGTAAACCCAAACCGTCATTTAAACTCGTTTAATCGTAAAAAATCTAAACCCTAATCGTACTTTCTAAACCTAAACCGACACTTAACCTCGTTTAATTGTAAAATCTAAACCCATTTATAAACTCAAACCGATAGTTAAACTCGTTTAATCATAAAATCTAAACCCTAATTCTCCTTTGTAAACCCAAATCGTCATTTAAACTCGTTTAATCGTAAAAAATCTAAACCCTAATCGTACTTTCTAAACCCAAACCGACACTTAACCTCGTTTAATTGTAAAATCTAAATCCGTTTATAAACTCAAACTGATAGTTAAACTCGTTTAATCATAAAATCTAAACCCTAACTCTTTCTAATAAACATAAACCGATACATAATTTCGTTTTAGTGGCAAATTAATTTTCTAATTAAATAAATATTTTTATTATTAATAAGTGGCAGATTATTAATAAGTGGCAGATTTTGATTGGAAATGTATTTTTAGGTAAATTGTAATTATGTTATAGCCGTTGTAATTATATCTTTTTTTACTACACACTTGAAACCCACCGTTTTATAGGCGTTTTTTATTTCTTTAAACGCACCGTATTGTAACCCAAAACCAACTCTTATCCCCTGGAAAAACCTTTCACTGCTTGCTTTCTCAGTCTCTCTCTCTCTCCAATGGCGTTCACTTTTCTCGCTCCTCACCCAGTCTTTCTCTCTCTAACTGGAACCACCTCTTCCTTCTCCTACAAACCTGTTCTCTTACCATTCTCTCGAAATTCCCGTAATCTCACGGTTGCGGCGGGACCTGCTCGCCGGAATTCGTACCCGAACCCTGCAGATGACGATCCACCTGAAGCTCCAGAGGATTCAATGCACGGTGTATCGAAGTTTCAGCAGATACAGCGTCAAGCTGCTCGTGCACGGAAACTAGAGGAAGAAGATTTCGAGAAGAATCGGAACACTTATCTCTCCGCTATCGCCGATGTGGAAGACGCGGCGGAGACGGGACGAGAAGATGAAGAATCTGGTGGCGATTTGTTCTCAGATATCGATAGAGCAATCTCCATGAAACGTAGTGAGTTCGTGAAGCAAGGATTGCTCAAACCTAATCCTCCGAAAACGGCGTCGCTTAAGAAGATTGGGGAGGAGGGAGATGAGGAAGAAGGTGATGTTACTGACGTTGTTGATGAGCTTGATGAAGAAGAAGTTGTTGATTTGGATGAAATTGATAAATTAACTGGATTAACCGAGATTTCTGATGAAGAAGATTGGGTTGATGAGGAAGGTAACACTAGGATCAACAAGAAGAAGGAGATTGGGTCTGATCATCAATTTGAATTCGATTTGGATGATTTTGGTGAATCTAAAGTGAGAATTGTGGAACCTAAATTCAAAATGAGTTTAGCTGAGCTTTTAGATGAGAGTAAAGTGGTACCAATCTCAGTTTACGGCGATTTAGATGTCGAAATCACTGGGATTCAGCACGATTCGCGCGGTGTGAGTGCCGGAGATCTCTTTGTGTGTTGTGTAGGAAGTGAAAGTTTCTTGAGTGAAGCAGATAAGAGAGGAGCAGTGGCGGTTGTAGCTAGCAAAGAGATTGATATTGAAGATACCTTAGGCTGCAAAGCACTTGTCATTGTTGAAGACACTAATGCGGTTTTAGCAGCTTTAGCCTCTTCGTTTTATAGTCATCCGTCGAAGAACATGTCCGTGATCGGAGTTACTGGTACAGATGGGAAAACGACTACTACGTATTTGATTAAGAGCCTCTATGAAGCGATGGGCGTGAGAACAGGAATGTTTAGCACAGTTTCTTGCTATATTCATGGCGATAACAAATTGGATACGCCTAATGCTACGACGAATCCTGATGCTGTTTTGGTTCAGAGTTTGATGGCTAAGATGTTGCATAATGGAACTGAAGCTTTGGTTATGGAAGCTTCTCCTCAAGAACTTGCTTTAGGGAAATGTGATGAAGTGGATTTCGACATTGCAGTTTTCACAAATTTGACTAGAGAAAATACGGATTTTCGTGGTACCGATGAAGAGTATAGAGATGCTGAAGCCAAGTTGTTTGCAAGAATGGTTGATCCGGAAAGGCATAGGAAAGTGGTTAACATAGATGATCCAAACGCAGCATTCTTTGTCCAGCAAGGGAATCCTAATGTTCCTGTTGTGACATTTGCCATGGAAAACACCAAAGCCGATGTTCACCCATTAAAGTTTGAGCTTTCCTTGTTTGAGACACAGGTTTTGGTTAATACCCCTCAAGGTATACTGGAGATCTCTTCAGGTTTGTTAGGACGGCATAACATTTATAATATTCTTGCTGCTGTGGCTGTTGGGATTGCTGTTGGAGCTCCTCTTGAGGATATTGTTAGAGGTGTTGAGGAAGTCGATGCAGTCCCCGGAAGGTGTGAGTTGATTGATGAGGAACAAGCTTTTGGTGTTATTGTGGATCATGCAAACACACCTGATGGTTTGTCAAGGCTGCTAGATTCAATTCGAGAGCTTAAACCAAGAAGAATCATTACCGGTATAGATTTTTTTTCCACCCAATAAATACTCTTTGCCTGTTCGGCCGTTCCTATAGTCTTTATATGTGTGGTCATCTGATTATTTTAGTTGGTTTTTTTATTTATTGAAGTCATTGGTTGTGAGGGTGAGAATGAAAGAGGGAAAAGACCGCTTATGACGAAAATTGCTACTGAAAAGAGCGATGTGACGATGTTGACATCTGATAATCCGAGGAATGAAGATCCATGTAAGTAACTCTAAGAATTAGATTGAGTCTATCTCCCTTGAGTGTTTCTGGAGGTATATTAACAGTTAATTTTCCAATGTGGTTTTAGTGGACATCTTGGATGACATGTTGGCTGGGATTGGATGGACGATGCAAGAGTATTTGAAACATGGCGAACACGATTACTATCCGCCTTTGGCAAATGGTCATAGACTCTTTCTTCATGATATTAGACGTGTAGCTGTGCGTTGTGCTGTTGCTATGGGTGAAGAAGGTGACATGGTTGTAAGTATTCAAATAAACCCCACTCTATACAGTACTTTCCCGAGTGTGTTATCAAAGTTGCTGGATTTACCATTGCGAGCAATCAAAGTAATATAGTCAAATGGTGTTCTCGGGTAAATAGCTTTGCTTGACACTGATTTTTGCAGGTTGTAGCTGGAAAAGGCCATGAAGCGTATCAGCTTGAAGGTGAAAAGAAAGAGTTTTATGATGACAGAGAGGAATGCCGGGAAGCATTACAATACGTTGATGAGCTTCACCAAGCTGGAATAGACACAAGCGAGTTCCCATGGCGGTAAGCAGAACCGTAACAGCTAAAACAAACTATAACCCAAGTTTCTAATATGTGAAGAGTTGCTGAAACTTCTCAAGATGCTTCCCGATCACTAATCTGTTCTTCCTTGTATTACTGTGCTTCTGCAGGTTACCAGAGAGTCATTAATATCTCTGTGGTGAAATCATTAGAAGAGAAGTTAGCTTAGTCCATGAAACCAGTTTATCTTCCACCATGGTCCAATGCTCTTGCGAAGATCGATTTGCACAGAGGTAATGAATTCTACACAAGTGACATAAAACATGCTCAAAGGAAAAGAGATTACACCACTTGGAGGTATTTAACCTAATGAGTCACCAATCACCATTACCTTATTCCATTGCTCACTTGACTTGTTTTCTGGATAAGATGAAACCCAAGCTATCGAAATATAAGATTCGACTAAACTTGATTCAGATTTTCTTTGTCATTGTTACTGCAGGAGAGATGGAGAAAGATTCTTAAGGTGGAAGAAGATGCGTACAAATTTTGTAAGGGTTAAAACCCAAAAATGTAAGTGGTTGTTTTTTGTGTATGTTTTGATTTAGCGATAGCAGGTGTTTAATTTAGATAAACCAATTCAAACCGAACCAACAAAAACAGATTCGGTTTTAATTATTGTTTTTCTTTCATGTATCCAAAATTGAAACCGAACATAATTGAAAAAGTGAATTCCAACAAAAAAAAGAAATACGATGAAAATACGGTTTCAATTTCTTAATATGAAAATTTGAGAAAGTAGGAATAATAATATTAGGCCTTGTGATATATTGTGACAAGAACATAAATTACGAATGTTTGGCAATGACGCCAGGGAGGGAATATAGTCTTTTGAAACTATTAAGCATACTTTGAATTTTATTTTCTGGTTATAAATTAAAAGATTCCCAATATCCATTCGTATTTTTGGGACCACTCCAAAACCAATCTAATCAAATATAAAACCAAATAAATAATAATTTGTTTAGAGATACAAAACATGGTATGTCCGAGGAAATTGTCCTAAATGTCGTAACAAACGTCAATTCATGAATCGTTTTGTTTAATACAAATTTCGACAAGATTGTGATAGAACCAGTTTAGCTAAACCGGTCCAATCAGAAGAAACGCCAAAACCCGGTCCAATAGCTCGACCTAACGTCGTCGTTTTCAATGTTCCTTCACTTTACTTCCTTCTCGCTTACGTCACTTTCCACAGATCCAACAATGATATCAGATAAAATTAAAATATTCCCAATATATTTTCTAAGAATATCTCTCTCTCTTTGTTTTTATTTATTTAATTATTTTAATTCTCTTCCGTGTTTCACTCTTCTCTCTCTCTCTCTCGCTTCTCTTCATTGTTTCTGTGTGTTGATTATAGCGAAGAAGAGAGAATCCTTGGAGCATTTCCATGGATTCGCTTCGATTTCTCCGGATTCTTCTTCTATCATCTTTGATTTTACTCTTATCTCTCCGTTCTACAGTCACCGCCGGTGATATTGTTCATCAAGACAATTTAGCTCCGAAGAAACCAGGCTGCGAGAATGACTTCGTTTTGGTACTTATCTCCACCAAACTCTCTCGTTTCTTACTTCCAATTCAGCTTCTTCTTCACTAAGCTCAACAAGTAGTTCCAAAACAAAAACGAAATCGGAGGTTTCTAATTATATATGCTATTGAAAATTTCGTGATTAGTTTAGTAAATTTGGAGTTTAAGCTTACTAATTAGCTTGTGTAGTTGATCTAAGTTATGTATAGGCTTAAACTCTTAGTTTTAAGTCTAATTATGAGTTAAAAGCTTCGTTCTCGTTTAATTCTGATATATGAGAAGTGTTTGATAAATTGGATTAAGATCTGGTGAATGTGTGATTTTGTTGTAACCTGGTTCTTTTCTTAGGTGAAAGTTCAAACGTGGATTGATGGTGTTGAGAATGAGGAGTTTGTGGGGGTTGGGGCTAGATTTGGGAGGCGGATAGTTTCCAAGGAGAAGAACGCAAACCAGACTCACCTTGTTTTTGCTAATCCTCGTGATTCTTGTACACCGCTCAAGAACAAGGTTCTTTTTATGACCTATGACATTATAATCAATGCATTTATAAACTAGTTGTGATGTTGAAAGTGAATGCGTAAAACTTACTTTGTTCAATCTTTGTTAGCTTTCTGGAGATGTTGTTATTGTGGAACGTGGCAACTGTCGGTTCACAGCAAAGGCGAATAATGCAGAAGCTGCTGGTGCCTCTGCTCTGCTCATCATCAATAATCAGAAAGGTAATTTGTTTTGTTTCGATGTGACTGTTGAAATTGTTTTATTGCTTTGATGTTATTATAGCAATCAGTTATCATGAGTTATTTGGGTATGCTTACTATCACAGACAATATTGTTTGTAGAATTTAATGGTTTATATGTTTGTTTGTCTCTGACAGAACTTTACAAAATGGTTTGTGAACCGGATGAAACGGATTTAGATATACAGATTCCTGCCGTCATGCTCCCGCAAGATGCTGGTGCATCCTTGCAAAAGATGCTAGCCAACAGTTCAAAAGGTACGCTCTAATTATTTATCTGTTTAGCTTTTCTGTTTCAAGCACAATATGCTTCCGAAGTTGTCATTTAAGCACAATATGTATCGGTTAACTCAACAATCTTCTGTACTTGACAGTGTCGGCGCAGCTTTACTCCCCAAGACGACCAGCTGTTGACGTAGCTGAAGTCTTTTTGTGGTTAATGGCTATTGGTACCATTTTGTGTGCATCTTATTGGTCTGCATGGAGTGCCCGAGAGGCAGCTATTGAACATGATAAGCTACTGAAGGTCCGACATTTTCTATTTATTTGGGAATAATAATATTAGGCTAGGAAGATTTAGTTGGATGGGTAAGGATAACGTAAACTGCTAATAAGTAAGTCCCTTGCCCTTCTTGTGCATTTCCAATGATGCCAAAAGGGACAGAGTAGTTGGTAACTTGGTTAGGCCGAGGAAGAAAAGTCAATTATAGTATATTAAACAACGCTTAGGCATTTCTTTACCATGTTACTTTCCCAATTATGGAAAGGTTGTGTCAAGATGAGCATCCAAGAAATGGATAGGTAACGGATGGCTTTTCTTAATGAGTTGGGCCCCTCCTTGAGGCATTTGTCTACTTCTGACAACAGACTCACATGGTTTTGTTTATTTGTTGCTTTTGTTAATCGTTTTATCATCACTGTTATTATTCGTACCTAAGCATTCTTACTTCTAACATTTATTTTTTCTGCACAAATGTAGGATGCAATAGATGAAATCCCTAACACAAATGATGGGGGTAGTGGTGTTGTAGAGATCAATACTATTTCAGCTATTTTTTTCGTAGTTCTTGCTTCGGGATTCCTGGTGATTCTTTACAAGCTTATGTCTTATTGGTTTGTGGAGCTTCTTGTGGTTGTTTTCTGCATTGGTGGTGTTGAGGTACCAACTTCTTTTCAGTTCTTTTCTTCTTCTCTGTATCCTCTCAGTATGAGTCTCGTTCGACTAATGATCATTATACAATGCATACTTCAGTTGAATTGAAACTGGTTATAGTCTTAGATGGTGTAATAACTTCTTTATCTTCAGGGTTTGCAAACTTGCCTCGTCGCGTTACTATCAAGGTAAAAGCATGGTTCCTTTTAACGCCTATTTCATTTAATGTTTATCTTGGAGGATGTCATGGACTGTTCTTTTTGCAGATGGTTCCAACGTGCTGCAGATGCTTATGTAAAAGTCCCTTTCCTTGGACCTATCTCTTACCTGACTCTTGCAGTTTCTCCTTTCTGCATTGTCTTTGCTGTTCTCTGGGCTGTTTACCGAGTTCACTCCTTTGCTTGGATTGGCCAAGATGTTCTTGTAAGGATTGCAGCCCCATACAATTGCATTTACAACTACATTCCAATTACTTAGATGGTATTTGATATTGTTGTTCTATTGACTAGGGTATCGCATTGATCATCACTGTACTACAGATTGTTCATGTCCCAAATCTTAAGGTAATTTCTTACACATTTATACTTCATAGTATAGTTTTCAAAAGTTTTTGAAAGATTATAAAGCCACATATCACTTGAAACAGGTCGGGACAGTTCTTCTCAGCTGTGCCTTCTTGTACGATATCTTCTGGGTGTTTGTCTCCAAGAAGTTGTTCCACGAAAGCGTAATGATTGTTGTAAGTAACCAACCAATCAGCCATCCATCATTTTGCATAAAGAATCTAACAATGCCCAAACTCAAATCTCCTTGAGAAATCTTTATCCCATCTCTCATATGCTCATGAAAATGCAATGTTGCTTCTTTCTTCTTTGCAGGTAGCTCGTGGTGATAAGAGTGGAGAAGATGGCATCCCGATGCTACTGAAGATTCCGCGCATGTTTGATCCGTGGGGAGGCTACAGCATTATTGGATTTGGTGATATTCTTTTGCCCGGTTTGCTAATCGCATTTGCTCTCAGGTTCAACAGCCATACTCTATCTCTCTCTTAAATCATCATCTATAGTTTCCTTTCATCGAGTAGTAAGCTTTTCCGACATTTGTTCTTGCAGATATGACTGGTTAGCTAACAAGACTCTTAGAACCGGCTATTTTATATGGGCAATGGTTGCCTACGGATTAGGTAAAATATCACACACAGATCCGCGTAATCCCAAGAATCTTCTATTTCTCCACCATTGACAATCATTCAACCCATTTGAAAATTGCAGGTCTTTTAATTACTTACGTGGCTTTAAACCTAATGGATGGACACGGCCAACCAGCATTGCTCTACATTGTCCCTTTCACTCTTGGTAAGCTGGAAAATCTCTCCACATCTCTCTCTCTTTCGCCCTCTCCATAAATTGAGTATTGAGAGAAATCTTGGGATGGAATTGCAGGAACAATGTTAACGCTGGCTCGAAAACGAGGCGATCTTTGGATTCTATGGACAAAAGGAGAACCAGAAAGGGCTTGTCCTCACCATGTCCGGCTTGAACCGTGTTCTGAGAAATGAGACGACCTGACCAAAAATGGAACACTAAGATATTTACAGAGTAAAAAAGGCCTTTGGGTTGTAACCGATGTAACGTAAGCTGTAAGATTAATTTTCTCTTCAAATTCCTTTTTAATCTTATGTTTTTTTATGTTACTTACTTACACCATCATTATTGAAGGAGAATCCATGATCGTTCTTTGTCTATATAGTTTGTTTCTTTTGTAAGAAAGTGTTAAATGTGTATAAACGTAGACAACTTTCTAAGCTCTCATAATTGTGTGGACGATTTTGTAA